TATTTGTGAATTAAATGAATATCATTGTAATCATTAAGCAATAAAAATATATACAATAATATAATGTAAATAATCATAAATTGAAGTATTTTTAGGTTCTAAACCAAACTCAGGGACATTAGCTCAACAAATCATTTACTTGTTTAGATGACTATTAGATATGTTTTAGATTTACTAACAGTTAATTATTTTTTAAAAATAAATCAACTATTTTTGATTATTGTCACAGTTTTGATACCATTAACATATACAATATATTTTTTAATATAAATACATTTATTTAAAGAAAATTAAAGAAAATTAAGGAAAAATCCAGCAATAAACTTGTAAATCTAGTTTTTAATTATTTTGCTATTATATAAACATAGAAATTAAAATTATTAATACTAATAAATTTTTAAGTGCGTAAATGTTTTATCTACAATAGTTTATAATGTATTGAAAATATGCATAAATTAACATATATTAATAGTATAGCATATTTAAATAATTTTCATTAATTTATTGTTTTTTATTAAATACACTTTCATTAATATATATTTTTTGAGTTAAATTCAAGGCATTCAAAAAAATGATTATCGATTAAAAATATATATGAAAAACATATTTGTAAAAATGTTTTGTTGAAACCAAAGTCAAAAACACCATCAAATGATCAAATTATTGCAGATATATTGTGAGAGTCTATACTATAGAAAGTATTATAAAACAAATGACATTTTTAATAGACTAGTCATAAGAGCACTGGTAGTCTTATAGACTAACTGTACTATCTTTCCCAAGTTTGACTGCGGTCTATGAGTTGGAAATTAAGTGAATTTGTGCCACTAGTCTAGCAATCTTAACAATGTTAACATTACCATGATCATTTTTTATTAATGACTTCTCAGATAAATACTATACCATATATTATGTGTGTATATATGATATATACAATAAGTTTATTGTTTGTGTGTTTGTGTCACAACAAAAGTAATATTATTTAGCTAAACATTAAAAGTAACTTTTGATATTAATTCAATTAAAGTAAACATTAATAAAATTGTTTCGAAGAAAAACTTGAATTTTTGTTGTAATAAATTAAATGTCATATATTTTTTGACCAATAAAAGTCTCAATTTATCGAAATAAATAAATATTTGCAAAAAAATAATATATGAAATGAATGAAAAGATCGGTTCAACATATTAATGGATTTTTTTGTGTCTAAATTGGTTTGTTTTTGGCCGTGAATTGTCTGCAAAAATTGTCTTTTTAACTGCCATTCAGACAAATCGGTATGTATTTGAATGTCGATTAATTTCAATGTATATATAAATATATATATATATAGTTAGGAGTCTTAATAGCATTAATACCGTATATTGTATCATAAGTTGATGACTGTCCGGGATAACTATGTGTAAAGCATATGACGCTTATCTGGTTTTATGGCAATAAAATGAAAACCTTTGTATTTAATTATTATCATATTTTTCTTAAAACATAGCCTTGTTTATGGCTTATCATTATTTAATATAACGATATATATATATATATATGATACATACAATAAATATTAGTTATAAAGTTATTATGATAAAATATATTATTTGGTCAATATTTTGGTCACTTATATAAATATAAAAAATATATCTAATTATTTCTAAATGATAACCTAATACATAAAATACTATACATTAGCAATTTATATTTTTGCACAAAAATAATATTGCCTTCATTAATCATTTCTATTGGCACTAACTTATGATTAATAAAAATTATTTGCTAATTATCTCTCTCTCTCTCTCTCTCTCTCTCTCTCTCTCTCTCTCTCTCTCTCTTGTTAATATATTATATGATATATAAATTTACTATTTTATATACAGTATGTTATATACTATATTATAAATGCATTATACCAGTTAAGCATTAATAATTTGATAACATTTATAATATACTAAATAACTAACAATATATGATTTAATTTGTTAAAACATTTAAATATCTGAAATACACCCATATTTTAAAATTATAGTTAGTTTTTAATTAGTTTAATAATGGATACATAGATAATAATAATAATTTAATTATATATAATGTGATACATTATATTGAATATAATGTTGTTAAATATATAAACAGGTTTATTTTTTATAAATTAAAATTCGAATAATATCTAGTATTTAAAAAATCTATATAGGTGTTGCTCACATAAGTCGTCCATATGGGGGGGGGGGGTTAGGAAATTAGTGAAAAATAAAAATAATTCACAATAATGTTTGATAATTAAGTTGCTTAAATATATTGATATAATTAACTTATACACTGCTTATATTAATATATATATATACATATATATATATTAAATGTTTAAGGCAATCAACATCCAATAGTAAACTTTATTTATAATTTAATGTTTTGTAATTGAGATTAACAAAAAATCTATTTATTTTTACGTGAACTTAATTGCATTAATACTGTATTAATATTTAAATAATGACAAATTAGCACCAATTTTAAAAATATATTATTTTATATGTTATTTATGGGAACTGGAGATTATTTAAGTCTTTGAAGACTATGATTATTGTCATTAGACAATAGATTTGTCAAAAACCTAACCTAAGATGATATTTAATTTGATAAATCAACATAAAAATCAATTATTATTTGATGTTATTTATTAATTATAATGTACTTAATTAGAATTTTAATAATTTGTTTTTTAAGTTTTTATTGGTAAATATATTTTTGTATTAAATAATAATATTTGATAGTTTGATAGCATTACGTTTGATATTTATATACAGTTAATATACAGTGTATATTATAATTAGTGTGATATGTCATCAAATAAATACAGTACTCTACAGATTATTTTTTTTGTTGAATCATTTGACGAGTTTTTAAGTTAAGAGGTGTTTAAGTGATTGTCAGATAAAATAAATAAATTATTTATTAAAAATATAAGATTAATACTAACATTTATTTCGTGATTTATTTTTTATGAGATGAAAAAACTTCATTAATAAAAATTAAGAAATAATAAGAAATAATAACAACAATAATAACAATAATAATAAAATACAAGTGTTTTTAAGAAATTAATGAATTGTGTAATAAAAAGATGTTATGAAAAGCTGAGGTAATTGGATATTGAGTTACTGACTAATACTCAAACCTATCCATTCATATAAGTGCATGAATTTCAAAGAAGTCACACAATTATTGTTTAATATTTATATTTATTATTACTTTTGTTGACTATATTTTCTAGAAGTGTTATAAGAAATATATTATTTAATAAATTCAATGCAAAGATTATGAGGATTATTGAAGTGAGCTTTACTTTACTCTAATGTATGTCTCAATTCATTTTAGGATTATTTTTTCAAATCTTAGTATTGCATCTTCAAAATGTGATATACAGTATTAATATAAATTATTTACATAAATAAATATATACTCTACAGTATATGTAATATTGATACCTATATTTATTATTCAATCGCAACTTTTATACCCAAACACACTAAACATTTGGTGTTATTGCATAAAATACTTATTAAGAATAAAAATGTTGATTAAAAATACTAAATAATTGAATTAATTAGTGAAAAGAGCCAATAATATACTATTGATGAAGTGATTGAAGTGATTTAGCAAATATTAGACCTCCTAAACACTCATTTAATGCCTTTTAGTCTCTAATTTATACAAAACACGTTTAATTTTATACAAAAAAACTTGCATTTATTTGGGTTTTTATGCAGTTATTATTGACAGTCAATACTAATGAAACTTTTTAAATAAATTTGGTTTCACTACTGCATTAATAATAAATACTCTATAATATTGTGTTAACTATATATATATATATAAACATTTAGTTAACCACTTTTATAAAAAGTATTAATTAATATTTGATTGATACTACCAAGGGTATTTTTTTAAATGCTGTTCCAATGAAAGGTATATTTTTGACAAATTGATATCAATTACACAATAAAACATTTGTCAATATCTTGAATCAATCAGTTGTTCAAAACTATTTATTTATCAATAAAGCAAATCTTATAAAAATATGATAAAACAATTATAAAGTCTTGAAAAACATATATAAAGTTTAATACGAAATAAAAATATAAAATATATGGATAAATATTCCGTAAAATATACAGTAATATACAGTAGATATTGATATCTCATATAAAAGTCGACGCAATCTCAGAGCAGTTGCCATCAAATGTAATGCAATAAGAGATCGATTTGTTTGACTACTCGTGAAGTCTGTATTTCACATACTTGTGCTCAACTCATCTCCTATTTTCAGTTGACATACTCTCACTCCTCTGACAACTACAACCACTGACACTACCGTTCCTATAGTTTTCATTAGTTTTTCAATAGTGTTTAATCTGCTATTAAAAGAGGAGAGAGAGAGCTCTTTATATGATATTATTAAAATATGATACTTTTTTTATCAATACATATTAACTGTCAATTATTTTATTATTAAATAAAAAGTTTGATAAAACTATAAAACTTTGTGTACATTTTATGTATTTTGAAAATGTAGACTACATGTTTGTTTATTTTAAAAATAAATAAAAAAAATTTCCATTAAATACTAGTGTGCTAATTGAGCATAATTAAAAATTTATTAATTATTTTATTTTTGTTGTTTATATGTATATTAAATTTATAGTCATTATCCAAGAAAGTCAATCAATTGTTTAATGAAGTGAACCACAAGTTTTTACACCAAAACAACTCAATAAAAAGATAACAATTCAAACAATTTTTACGGCAAATAAATTTTTCTAACACAAGAAAATTCCATTAAAAATATATTTTTTAAAATAAATATTACTTTTATCTGTGTTAACAAAATGTATATAATAAATAATAAAATGATAGAAAAATAAGTGTTATTAATGTTAATAATAATGTTATAATTTTTTTCATACATTTTGGTGACAAAGTAATGATTTTTATTGTGCAAAATGACTGTACGTTTAGGTACAAGAGCTCTATTTTTCTACAAAATATTATGTCATTGCAATCATTGTTGGCTTTTAGTGTCATTTATACTGATTTTATTATCATCTCATTGTCAGCACTATGTTATGTGCAAAACAAGACACTCGGACACAGATTTCACAAAAAACTTATTAAGGTTTCAGTTTTATGACTATAATTACAAAAATAATATAAGCACTGATACCGTCATCAGCACTACTACTACTACTACTACAACAACTACTAGTCCAATAAATACTATTATTGATACTATTAGTAATTACAGTGACAGCTATTTTAATATGACATCTGTGTCTACGAAGACATCAATGAACGCCATTACCAAAACAAACGCCACGACTATTATCACCACAACTACAACAACATTATCTCCAAATCAATTGACTTTAAGCACTGATAAGACATTAGCAGTGAATGATAGCAACAATGTGTGCAAAGTTTGCTGGTGTAGCAAACGGGACACTCTTGACTGTAGACGTGCCGATCAATTGGACACATTTCCCGTTATGTACCACAAACACGATCGGATGCTTATCACCGAAATGTAAGTCCTATTTATTGCACTACACATACCGGTGCCCGCACTTTAAAGGCATTATGCAAATACCATTTGCCCAGTCATTACAATTCCCAAGCCCTGGCATTTTTGATACGAGGCGTCATAAAAATTAGATCATTAAAAAGTGAAAATTATTGCCAAACAATTAGTACCGCTTATGATAACTATAATAAATTAATAGTCTATTAATTATGCTATGCTATGCTAAATGATATTCATTATTATTTATTACAAATTTATTTATATGTCTTTTTACTGAAACAGTTATAAATAACTTGAGTAACATTACATAACATAACAAGTAATCCTTTTTAGCAAGTACAATTTTATTACACAATATAAAATTTATTGTTATTGTTATTAATGCAATTTTGTGCAAAAATAATGGTATTACTATTACAGTATATACAGTACAGTATAAATATATTGCAATTCAATAAAGTGCTGATTATTTGATATTATTTCTAAAACCAAGACAATAATAACTACCTGTTTGCTGAAAATAACAAATAAAAGACTCGATTTCAACTTATTATTTGTTTTATAGTAATTTATAACTAAAAGTTAAAATTACTAATAATTTATTATACCATATATTTATATTATGAATGATAAGGATTAAAAAATATTGACCTAATTTTCAGATGTTTGTCTTACTTTTTCACATCTAGTCATTGAATGATTTAATTAGAAAAAAGATAAAAAAGTGAATAAAATTTTAATGTTCATATAGTGTACAGTATTTACGGAAAAAATATTTATTTATTACATAAAATAAATTATATTTGAAATTTAATTTTCAACATTCATCCCTCAAATAACAAACTTTATATTTATTTATTTTTATGTCAACAGTAGATTTGAGACCTTAAGCTCTCAGTTTTAGACAATTAGGCAAAAATACAGTTTCTGTATACAATGTTTTATACGTATAATGTAATACTATTATATTATATTATAATTTTATAATATATTAATATTATACTGAATTTGAAAATCCATTTGAATTTATAATAGAATTAGAATAAGCAAAATATTAACAATATTTCCAATAATATTTCGTTACTATAAAAATTCAATTTTAACTCTGAATAGTATTATATTTACATAAATAATATTTTCCTTATATTTTTAATCAATAGATTGTATCATATATTTTGATGAATCTTTTAGTAAAATCTCTTCGACAGTGTTTAACAAGATTTTCACCATAAAGTTAGTGATGACTAATAAATGAAAGTCTGTTTACTTTTAATGTCAATTCAATTAAATCAAAGTTTGAGCCGACATTCACTCTATATTATTAGTAGTAAGTAGTATGTCATACACAGTACCTGTATATGTCATACAATGTTATAAACTGTATATACTGTGGATAAGTCTATTATATGATATAAGTAGTCAAAAAAAATAGTAACATTACATCATATAATTTATATTATAATATTGATATATTTTCTACAGTAACAATAATTGCATGTTATTAATATCTTATCGATATTTTATACTAAAGTAACAATGCATTAATTTAATTTGCTTATTAATAATAACATACTTATGTATTAATAATATTTAATTAATAAAAAAATAGAAACAATATTATGAAATTATTTTATTTATGTTTTTATAGATCAAAATATTTATAAATACATTACTAGTATTATTGTATTAACTGACTTTCCATTTTTAACCAAGTTTTTTAGATATATTGATTTTTATATATTTATTTTATTTCCTTAACAATCTCAGCAAAAATAAAATTACCAAACAAACTATGATATTAATTCATTTAATAGTTATTCAATTTTCCAATAACAACAATATTGTATATTTTATATATATTGATATAATAAAGTAAATTATGAAAAAATGTAGTAATATTTATAATATAATATTAAATAGGTTGACCTTGCCAATGCATTCATAAAAATAATAAATTTAATGCATAAATTATTTCTCAGAAGTTACTATTTTAAACATTTATGTTAAAAAATTGTTTTATTGTACAAAAATATTGACAACAAAAAAACAGTAATCAATGTTACGTAACATAATATTTCCTATAATAAATCCACTAAGTTTATAATATAATAATAATAATAATCAATTTCTTGTAATCAATTCAAATAAATTGAGAAAAAAAAAGTTTCAAAATATGTTTACTGAGCTAAATATAAATATAAAAGAGTTGATAAAAATAGATTATTTGTTGTTTAAAACGATGAGAATAGAAAAGATCCATTAGTTTATTATGTTTTAAAAAATTAATTTTTATATTGTAAACCCAAAAAATACATTATTTATTTAGTTTTACAAGTTTTATAATAATAATTTTTTATACACAGTCACTGAAATGTAAAAAAAGTTTTATCCATTTAAGTATACAAAATATTTACATCGAACCTTTAAAAATGCTATTTTACTATTTAAATAAAATAATATTCTAAAATTAACATTTAAAAATTACTTTATTTATTAATTATTATTATTATTTTATACTTTTAATTAAAATAGACCACTATTTTAATCATAGTTACATTTAATATTACAGAATATTTTATATTTAAGTATTTAGTTTTTATAATTGGAGTTAACATTTGTTTTATTATACATATTATATTAAATATTTAATTTAATAACAAACGTTTTTTTATATTAAAACTAAACTTTAAACAAACAGTAGTTAATTTATAAATTATATTTATAAAATGGCTAAAAAATAAAGTAATATAAAATACAGATAATTTTTATTTTTAATATAAATATTTAACTTTTATTGTGTGAATTTTTAATTTGCTTAAATTATTAGATGAGTACATCTTAAAATACATTCAATGAATTTAGTTAAACCATTATTGAATGTGTTTTTCAAATTAATACAGCATTATATTGATTTAATCTCAAATTATGTGTTAAAAAGTTAAGTAAATACAATTATTTTATTATCAGATGAGAATTTTTGTCTATAAAATTGAAAAACTCCTTTATTTTTTTTAATTAAAGATAAGTTTAAATGCAATAGTATAAAGTAGTTTTGTTTATATTATAAATCATATTTTTAATACTGTACTTTAAATACAATAAATAATGTAAGTTTTTGTACAAAATATATTATATACACGATTTCTAAGTTATAAAAAAGTAATAATTTTGTTTTAAATGTAACATTTTTCATAAATTTTTAAAATTTCTATATTTATTTACTAATATAAATTTTTATCAAATTAAGTTATATAATTTAATAAATTTTTACTAAAGATTACTTAAAATATAAAGAATATAAGTTTTATGTTTTAAAACAAAATCATAATATTAATTAATATAGCACGGATTTTTTAATTAATTAAAGTATTTTTTAATTATTTTGTCAAAACAATAAAATTGATATTTTAATAAATTGACTACAAATAATATACCGGTATTACAATACAATGTATATGTTTGTCAATTCATTAATAAACAATAGCGTCACATATTGTACTTAATTAGTTAAATAACTGAATAGTTTTATACATGTTTATTACAAATATTAATGCTATAGTTTAGTTAATTTACATACTTTATTGCTAATTTTTTTTATAGACCACAAAGTTTAGCAACATAACTTACTTAATAATAATGTGTATCACATTGTTTGTAATTATTTAATAGTATATAATTAAAATTAGTTTAAATTTAAATAATTAATAAAACTGTTATAACAGTAAAACTAATTTGCTAAGAGATTTTTAAAAATCATAATATAAAAAGTTTTAATGTAGTTATTTTTGTTGTTATCCGATAAGTTATATTTAAATAAATTTGTTTTTTAAAAAATCATTATAAACACAATTTTTTTACACTTTACTACTTTTATATATTTATGAATGAATTGTCTGCGAGTAAACAAAAATATATAATTTTAGTCTAAAAACAAATATTTTGATGAATATTTTTTAGTGTATATTCCATAGAGATTTACGATATCAGATATAACTAAAATTTGATAATCATTTAATTTAATTTTAAATTTATTTTTCTGCAAATTTTATTTTTAATTTTTTAGGTTAAATATCATTAATTTGATTTTATATATTATTATCATATAAATACAAAAACTTATGAATTGTAAATGCATTGTAAAGATGTATACAAACAAAAAAATTGTAAATTAATTTAAACAATTTTAGGACCACTCCTATAGTCGTGTGATATGTTATTACTGATTATAAATCATTTCTTTGAAAGAATTAAATTAATTTTTTATTATATTGAAGTTACATATAATATAAGTTACATATAATATAAGTTACATATAATATAAGTAGTCATTTATCATATATAAAGTTTTAGTTTAATTAAACTTTTGTAAATATTGTGTATGCCTGTATATACTGTATATACTAATATATATATACGTGATTTTTGAGCAAAAATTTGAAAATATTTTGAATGTTATTTGGAAAACATAAAAATTTTATAATTTTTGTTTTTATACATTATTTATAATTTATATAATAAATTTGAAAGAAAAATGAAAAGTAAGTTTTGTTGAAACCTAAAAATGTTTTCTCTATTGTGTTGTGAACTTCAAAATAACACTTTTAAGGTTTAATTTATATTATATAAATATTAAGGTTTTTAATAATAATATGTTTTGTTGAGACAACTTTTTGTGATAAACTTTACAATTTAATTAATTTTACATCTAATATACAGTTATTTAAATAAAAATATATTAGTATATATAACTATTGGCAAAGTATTTCATAAATTTATGAATTTAAAATTGTTTTTATGAATAGTATTATTTATGGATTTTCATCATAAAAATAATATTTTTAGCACATATTTTTTTTATTTGTCTAACATTATATTTTACTAATAGCAAAATTAACTAAAATTTTTAAAACTAAATTAAAGTTACAACAATATTCAAATACACATAATATAAGTTATAGTCCGTTTAGACATATGTTATTACTATTGATATAGTCATACTACTATATATTACTACATAAGTCATCATTAAAAATAAGTTATATTTAGATTTACAACAAATTGAGAGTTTTCTTCAAAAACATCAATATTTGACATTAATTTTGAGTATAAACACAGTATATCATAAACTTTCAATAAATTCATTATAATTATTTTTTTGTAATATTTTATTGCTATTTTTATTAATGATTTATTTAATTATAAATATAATTATCGTTTATAATTTTAACATTAAAAATATGTTTATAAAAACATTTATATCAAATATTAATATAATACTAAACTATTAATAAAATAAAATTACATAATTTTTTATTGGTATTTATGTTTTAATAAATTTTTATTAGTCTAGTTGTTATGTTTTGTATTTTTTATTTGTTATTTTTACTATTTTTGTTGCTTAACATGTATTGTTAATTATTTTATAAATTGCTATTTTATTTGAATTCTTGAATATAAATACAACAAAGTATGTGATTCTATGGATACATAAGAATCAATTAAATGTAAATTCTTGGCATTTCTTTTAACACATTTGTATCTAAAGTTTTTTTACTACTTTTTTAATATATTAAAATCAAATTTTCAAACATCTTCTTATTTAGATTAAGTAATACTATAGATGTTAGAAATTAATAAAATCACATTTTATTACATTATATACTTATAATATAAAATATATATTTTTTAGACTTAAATAATACTATATATAAACAAATATATTTATATATACAGTATAAATATATGTATGTATTTTTGTTAAAATTCTTTTATTAAAAAAATATTAAAGGAATTTTATTATAATATATGACACAATTTATATTTATGTAGTTTTATTTGTGTTATTATACTATAATAATATTATTTGAAAATTTAATTTTTAATATAAATTGAATGTTTGTTTTGAATATATTAAATGCATAATTAAATTTACTATAAATGCATATATTGTGTAATGTTTAACAAATATATAAATACATTGGAGAAAATCAAATCAAATATAGTTTATCATATTTATGATATGATATTATACGTCACATTTCATAGTTAATAATATACTATATATAAATAAATAGAAATGAATTTGGGGGCCATTTATTAAAGTATTACTAAATTTAATTAACTTTATTGCTTATTACCAATAGTTTAAAATAGATTTTTATAAATTATAAAAGACTAACAAATACTAAAAATTAATATTAATTTGATTTACTGATAATTATAATATTAAGTTAATATATTATCATTGATATAAATATTCTGTTTGATAAATGGAGATAACCCATCTTACTCTCTGAGATGACTATTTTTTGGGTCTACCCCCCCTTTCTGGCCTAAAATCAAAAGGTTACCTTCAAGGAATATATGAGAAATTTATTGGGAATTTATTTCAGTTAATAAAATTTTATATTAGGCATGGTTCACATATTACGTTCGCACTTTTTAAGAAATCTAGACCCCCTCCCTCCCCTATGTTCGCAATTGTTCGCGTGTAGTCATTTAAAAAAATTACGTTCGCTTATCCCTAACCGCTACCCCCCCCCATCACAAGAAATAAGATATTATCTAAATGCGAACGTTTCTTAAAGTCTCTACCCCTCCCCTCCATCTCGTTCGCAAAAGTTCGCTTTGGCTAACCCCCCCTCCCATCAAGTGCGAACGTAATATGTGAACAACGCCTAATCTTAAAAAATGAGACAGCACACAAATAAGATAATCTCATTAATTTTTGACTATACAAAGTAAAGTTTTAATGCAAATATCATATGACTAATAGACTATCTATCAGTGATATTTGATTCTTGAATTTTGATTGTTTAATAAAATGTATTAATTTGTAAATTTTTTGCAGCTTTTTTAAATACTAATATTTAAGCAACTAAAATTTTATGATTTTTTGTGATATTTTCTTTAATAAAATTTTGTCTAAAAAAGTATCTTTACATTGCTTTCATCCAGGCTATGAATATAACAGTATTTAAAGTAAATATATATATATAACAAAACAATTTTAAAAAAATTGTATATTTAAACATAAAAATAATAGTTTAATAATCAATTAACATAAAATATGCTTTTAAAATAATAAAACTTAAGATATTAAATATACAGTATATCACACAAAATCTTTTTCAAAATATTGTGAAAATATTTTTTTTTTTGTTATAACTTATAAACGGATTGGAATAAAACAAAAATATTTTATTCAAATCCGTTTATAAGTTATAACCAGATAAAAACATTTTGAAAGTGATTTTATGTTGAGTTCGGAAAACATCCCAAATGAAAAAAAAGTTGACTAATAAATTCCCTTCAATTTTCCAGAAAAATTAATGTAATATTCATTTTCTCTTTTAATTTTATATTTCAATAAAAAGTCAAAAACTAAGACATAAACACCATTATAACGTTTAGTCGTTATATTTGTTTATAGATTATATGTATTTTTCAAACTTTATAATAAAATGTGTTAATTATGAATCAATATGAAATACTAAATACAAATATATTCCCAAATTATTTATATTTATATTAATAGTTATTTTTGACAATAAGTTATATTTACTATTTTTATAAATAATTGAACAATATTTAAATTATAGAAATATTTAACAATAGGTTACATTGTTTTACAAATATAAAAATAAAATTAATGCTGAGTTTGTTACTTTTGAAATAGTTATAATAAGTAAGACAAACTAATGTAGAATTTAATGTATTATAAATAACACTAAAAGTCTAATAGAAATTTTTATATTGAATTCGTGACAATCATATGAGATGTCCATCAAAACTATTAAACATTGATACAGTATAAGTGGGAAATGGACTTTATTTAAAGTTAAATCTTATTCATTAAAACTCATTTTCCTAGAAATTAATTGTGTCGATAGTAAATGTTTTATTGTTATATACATTTGATGTGATAATTATGGAAATAATATCTCATAAAAAAATAGTATATTTTGGGTGGGGTTTGGCTATGATCTCCGATCAAGCAATGCATTCAATTTATGGTCATTTCAATTGATTCCTTGATATATACTGTATATATTGACCCCACCTTTCAATTACTTATAAATACCTTGAAATTATTTCCTATATAAATTATATATATTATACTTAGTGTTTTATATTAAATATTAAGTTTATTGAAAAAATTGTTATCCAAAAGTAAGATTTGAAAAAATAAATTTTGTTTTGGTTGTCGAAAAATTTAATTTTCATAGATATTAAAAAAAATTATAGAATATTTTTATATTGTGTTGTGTTTATTGTATATCTAAGCAAAATATACATTAATTATAATCATTATTAAATTAATAAAGTATGATGGGTAATTAATTTAACACTAAAATCATTACGAGTGTTGAATCTAATAGCGAAAATAGTAATGAACTAATTTGTTGTTAGTTTCATCAAAATATTTGATACAACTATTGTTTTACATGTGATTTTAAATTAACATAAAGTTTATATAAAATTAATGATATATACCGTACATACAAATACAGTACAAAAAGCTCATAAATTGTCTCTCTTATCACATACTCTATTGATTTCACTTATACTGTATAATACAACACAATTGATAGTGTAATAAAACGCTATTCAGTAGTTTTATTTGATAAATACAGTACAAGTAACTGAAAAAAGCCATTTATAAGCAAAACTAAATATCTGGGTATAGGATGGGTATATATATATATATAGTTTATTGTATATTGTATAGTACTGTATACTATAGGATTGCAACCAAATAAGTCATTGATTGTTTGATAGTATGGATGTCATCAGCAGTTTTCGCAATCAAACCACTCGTTTAGTGGCTTCACTTCTTTGATGTCAAAATTACTGTTAAATTAATGAATTAAAAAGACTAACAAATAATAAATGAAAGCAATGTATTTGACTCTCACTTTTGAAATCATTCAGTAATCCAATGTTTGCTGTTTTTGTGTTATACTATTAATACAATTGACTCAGTCATTGAAGAAAATTGTTTGCTAATCCCAAGTAATACTGTAAATAAAAATAGTAGCTATGGTTAAATCAATTATCAAAAAATATTAGTTTCATTAATATGGCAAAAATTAATGTATTTAAAATTTAAAAATTATTTTAACTTTAGATGATTATCTTTTACAAACAATTAGTAATATTATTTTTATTAACATTTTAACGGTTTGGCAATCATTTTTCTGATAATACATTTTTATGACATTTTTCTTATTTAATTAATATATAATAATTAATGACTTTTAACATAACATTTTTATTTTCAATACAATTGACAGCATAGTCGAGGATCAGCCGCGACTGACAACACTCAGTAATTCTCAAATGAAATACTATTTGAATGTCGAAAAATTGTAAGTTTTTTAACAAATATTTTACTGATAATTGATATTTAATAAAAAAAAATACTATATTTTCAGATATTTTATAATTTATTATATTTTCCATAAAAAATATTTATATTAATTTTAGCTGAATTCTTTTTTAAACATATTTTATTTTTAGATAATACTTTAAATTTTATTTATTATTTTTATTAACTATTATTAGTGTAAAAAACTAGATCATTAAGTTTATTGGCATTTGATATAACTAATGTTTTATTTTTAGTATTTTTATTTAAGTTATTTGTTTAATATTTATTTTTTATGTTTGTTTGTTACAGAATTTCATAAAAATATATTTAGCAAAAAATAATAACATACAATCTCTAGTCTATGTTTAGATATTTTTCAATGGATTTTTATTGAGTATATTTCACTATAGTATAGATATAATATATATGTGTTATTATAATATATATTTTTTGTGTGTGAATGAGTTGTTTGTCAACTGATGTGATATCAAACAACAGTGTGTTTTGTTAATAATAATAGTGATGACAACAAACACCCAAATTGTTTTCGTGCAAACCATTTGCTAACCATTTTTTAGAGCAAAATAAAGGACTTTCTCTTAGACATCAATTTCACTTATTTTATTGTCGTGTCATTACTTTATTGACACCATATAATATTTATATAAAATTTTATTTATTTATTAATATAGACTTTACTAAAAATAGAAAAAAATTGATAACGAATCACTAGTTTTTAGAAAATATTGATATAACAAAAATTTAATTGATAATACATTAAAACTCTCATCAAAAGTTTGTGTTTATTTTATTACTGTAATTAAAAGTTTTTTCATTTGAGAATATTTTAATTAAACTGTGAATAAATCTCACAGAATATATTTGCTAACAGAAATTAAATTCTGTAAATAATTATTATAATAATTATTATAATAGAAATTATTATTATTTTATATACTTATTATGAAAGAATATTGTTATCAAAACATAGATTTAATTTCCTATGAAATGCATTTAAATCTGTATAATATATATATATATATATAATATAATATAATAACAAATATAACATTTGATATTTTATTTTTAGGACAATAGAGAACTGTGGTCTCCGTTATGTTTTGCCCAACACTTTCAAGAATAATACGAAACTCAAAGAAGTGTAAGTCATTTGATGACATTTATAATATATTTGACACTTAATTATGACATTCAACTGTATATGACTGTCCTTGTGGTCTAAGATTGCAAAACTAATAAATAATTTTTAATATTTACTTTTTTAATGTTTTTATGTCTACAGTAATTATTATCATTTTTGTCTGCATATCTTTACTTATGTATTAATCTCTTGTTTAAATTAAGATATAACTAGTGTTTAGCAAAAAAAGAAAAATTTCTAAAATAATAGAGAAATTTCTGTCTGAAATCTCAATATTAATTTTGTTGACTCATATTAGTTATCTTTGTAATAATACATTATGATTACGAGTAATAATTAAATATTATTATAATTTGTATTTTAATTAATAATTAAAGTAAAAATTAATCTTTTTAATTATATTAAACTAAAAATATAATTAAAAGATTAATAAAATTTTACATAACTATAATTAGAACTATTTTTTATATATATATAGGGATCCCATTTCTATAGTATATATGCATTGTTTCATTAATATAGTATTACAATAGCTATAGATATGGAGATCCCAAAGTATACTTTAATAATAAATTAAAGTTTATAGAAATTTATTCATGAGAAATTTACTAGAAATTTTCTCAGTGAAATTTTATAGAAATTTCTATTTGCTCATCTCTAGATATAACTAGCAGCTAATAATTTATATATGCAGTATATATTGTATATTTTATCTATTTATTTATGAATTATTTATTTTATTTATATTATTAAAAAATGCAAATGAAATGCATCGGTCCGGACGATACCTTAATATAATATTTAATACGTATTTGGTTTTAGTGATCATAATTAGCCCAACAATGTATTTGTCATATAAACCTATTATTTAATGTGAATTTTAGATAACAATAGTCATTGAATGTTGTATGTGTTTGTTTGTTTGTTTGTTTGTGTGTKTGTGTGTGTGTGTGTGTGTGTGTGTGTGTGTGTGTGTGTGTGTGTGTGTGTGTGTGTGTGTGTGTGTGTGTGTGTGTGTGTGTAATGACAGTACAAATTAAGTAATGCCTTATCGGACAAAACAACACAAAATTTTTTAATAGTTTTGACGAACGACCAGAACATAGATTACTGAGACGTGAAACAAGTGCTGAATACATGGCTGTAATGATATTCAATCCATAATATAATCGCATTTTATTACATGTTTTGATCCTTTAATACTGCCTTTTATACCATTTATTATTCTTGCCGTTAGATTATAAGTCAAACACATTTCTTATTTAATCAAATTAAAGTATAAATATACTGTAGTATATAATGTATTATAACCTTAATTTTATTAATTTTTTATATTTAAGAGAATTTTTTAAATATATATTTTACTGTATACTATATAAAAATAATTTTAATGCATGAATACAATCAAATCAAATATAATATACAATCAAAACATACATATTATATAATTTGTTCAATATTTTACTGTTCATATTTAATAGCTCTAATAATAACGTAATTATAATTTTTTAAGACAAATGGTAATAAATGTTAACAAATATTCGGATAAATAAACTTATTTAAGAGTTTGCTATTATATCAATATTACAGTATATGAATTGTTTATTAAATAATAAAATTTATATTATTTGATTATAAAAGCAAATATATTTTTAGCAATAAAGCGATATAAAAATAGTTTAACACATCATTAGATAAACTATTTACTATAACTTATTAAACATATAACTAATACAATACAACAATAATGACTAATTAATTATGAATTATGGTTTGATTTACATATTTATTTTTGCAAATAATTTCTCGTAAGTTATCTATTACTTAAATAATAGATTCTCATTATTTCAATTTATATAACTTAATATTTGCAACAAATAAATTGCTTATGTATTTAAAAAAATGTTTAATGTAATGCTTTAAATAAGCAGTAATTAACAAATTAATAAAAAATACAATTGAAATAATTATTAATTAAATATATAATACGGTTTGTATATAAAGGTATCTCAAGAGAAACAAAATACAAGTGCTTTCGTGGAAATTATTTGAAAGACTCACAATTCTCCGTAAGTATCCATCAATTAATATAACTATTTATATATATATTTTTTAATAATTATTAAAATTTTATGAATTGAATAAATTCAATATAAACCATTAAATTGAAGCACATTTTATCATTGAAAACAAAATTTTAATTGGAAATAAATTTGAGTTGATTTTAATATCTTTTTTTTAAATAAAATAAATAGTTTTCAATTATGTTATAATAAATATTTTAAAAATAAATATGTCATAATTTTAAACATCAAAATACATTATTACTAAATAAATCCGGATTATAATAATGTTAAAATATACTGTTTTATATTATATATTGAAGCATATAAAACTATAACAAAATGTAATCTTTTACACTAAACTTCAAAATCATAATCTCAATTTGAAAACGTTTAAAATAATAAATAATTTTAATATTTAAATATTGTTTTTGTTATCATTTATTACTATTATATTATATATTATACTAAATTGATATATTTGTTAGAATTATTATTTTTATTTTAAAAAAAATTTCAAATTTATATTATTATTATGATATTTAGTGTAAAAGATTACAATTTGTCATATTTTTATTTGAAATAATACTCTATATTATAAATAACAATATATTAGGTGTCACTTCCGTTTACGGGCTTTTAGTTAATTAAAATATAGATTTATATCTGAATACCTTATGATATAATGAACTCGTATTATAATATTATAAATATATAAATGTCCTTGATACATATCTACATATATCTTATAACGAAAATATAATTAAAAATAATTATATGCTATCTATTAGATCAAGCATTAGCCGTGTATTAGTGTTCTGCAGTGTCACCTAAACTCATATTTCTATCTCAACCTAAACCCAAATATAATAGTATTACTAAACTAATAAAATACTATTTAAAAAAAACCTTAACTGACTCTGTAATTAGCATAATTAGCAATAGCAATAACCCTAATTAGCATGTAATTAATTATTTTTAAATTTTAATTATATTTTCGTTATAAGGGATATGTAGCTAGGACCTTTATATATGAGTTCCTTATATCAATATAAATGTATCATTTAATTATCCAGAAGCCCGTAAACGAAAGTCTGGGCATATATTTTATTTTTAAAATAGGAATTTTGTAAATTTTAATCATTTAAAAATAATGGCTATTTATTTACTAATATTTATTAAAAGTATTAAATTATATTTATAATTATTAAATATTATTATATAAATATTAATTAAAATACAAACAAAAAAATGTCAATAATGAGAGACTAGTACAGTATGACCACCTATTTTATTAATTTAATATAATCACTGATTACATGGTTTAAGTTAAATAATGAATTATTAGTAATTAAATAGTAATGAAAAAGTAATTTTAACTAATTGTAATCAAAGAATTGACTTTTAACCTAAACTCAAATACAAAAGAAGTTTTAGCTATATTTAGATTAATACGAGTAATAGTTTTTCTCAATTAAATTAATCGATTGAAGACTACTTTAAAATGTATTGATTAGTAAAGTAAATATTTAGAGGAAATAGAGATCGGTTTTGACCAACCAATTGATGGATCGGTGAATGACTTTTTTGATGATTAAATTATATTAAGTTTACTAAATTTCATTATAAATACACTATTTTTTCTCATTAGTTATTCAAAGCATCATTTATTTATTGAAATTCAGAAATAATTTAATTATAATAATAATTAATTATTTATGTAATATATCTTTAAATAATAATTATTATTTTCTAAACAGAGTTAGAGTTGGAGAACAATCCGCTTACATGTAATTGTTCGTCAAAATGGATTCAAAGACAGATCTCCAAACCTAATGGCATATTAGGACCCCTTTCCGATAGCATCACCTGTTTTGACGATAAACTCAATAAAACATTACGACTCAGTAATATTTCAATTCCCGGATGTGGTCAGTAATAACTAGTTTTTTATTTATTATTAATTATATAAATATACAATTATTTTTATTTTTAGAAATAAATAATGACAGAAAAAATATTGAGTAAATTTTTTAAAAATATAAATAATATAAGAAAATAATTAGTTATAATAATTATTTTAATAAATAAATAAAAATTCAGTATTTAATTTATATTTATTAAAAAATGCATTTTATTAGTATTTATAGTTATTGTTAAGTTTTAAAATTAATTATTTATTAAATATAGAAACTTAAAAAAAATTAAAAGTGTTCATCAAATTCGTTTTTTTTGCTTTGACTATTTAATAACCTAATATTAGATGAACTATACTGTAAAAGATATATAATATTGTGTTATAAAATATTAGTACATTTGCAATGAGAATACAAGATTGAAAGGCAATTCTATATATTATTATAATAAAAGCATTAATCAATTTATATATATTTCTTAGTTTTTTCAATATATTCAATGATTAAACTTTATTTATAACTTTATTTTTATTATAATAAAAAAATTAGAATAATAATGTAAAAATAAAAATTACATAATATTTTAATTAAATAAAAACAATGAAAATCAATATATAATTACTAAAGTAAACTAAACATTTTATCATAAAAAATAACTAATATTTACTTTGTATATTTGATTATTTATATATCATATATATATATATATATATATATATGTGTGTGTATGTATATATGTATGTATGTATGTATGTATAAGGTATATATATTACTGTGGCTAGTAAATTTCGAGACAGAATTTTTGTACTAAGTTTTTCTAAAATAATTCGAATATTAGAATGTTTTATATTTTTGTTTTAATGTACATATTTTCTATGATTATCACTTATCAAAATAATAGTAGTTTAATATCTTTGTCTAAAAAGTTTTCGGAATTATTTACAAAAATATTTGATAAATGACATTTTAAAACAGTAATCTTTTTTGATATTTTTATGTTTAAAATAAAAATAAATTTAAACAAAAAAATATTAATTTTAAAGAGTAATATTTGATGTTTATTTTTTAGTAAAAATCAGTAAGTTTATCAAATGCTTACAATTTTTAATAAATAATTTTATCTAAAATTAGGTCTAAATTTGTCTTCCAAAATAGCACAATTTTAATTTTTAATAATGTTTGGTATTTTCGTCAATAATAAAAAATTATTTTATTATTTTCTTAAAAGCAGGCAACATAATATAATATTTAATCATTTTAAAAAATTTATTAGAATAATATAATTTTAATAAATAACAAAAACATTTTAAAATTTATTTTCGTTTTTTAGAAATAAGTATAAATTGTATTTTTTTGTAATTTTTCATAAATAATTCTTTAATTGTCAGAAATCTAATAAAATAAAAATACTTGTATTATTTTATCAGGATTAATAGTTTTTCTTAGATTTTATAAATTATACAATTCTAAAAATTGAGGTTACTAATTTTGTAGCATTATAAAACTTTAATTATTATACTATAAAATATTTTAAAAAATTAACAATAATAATGAATATCTCTACAATTTAATACCATAAAAAAATAATTTTTAATTATTAAACCGAATGCAGAAAAATCTATTAAGTTTTCATATTACAATTTGTCTCGAAATATATTTGCCACAGTAATACTTTATTATTTTAGTTATTAAAACAGAAACTTATTTTTAATTACACTAAAGTTATTGATTGAAAAAAACATTTATTTGAAAAGATATGCCTGAAGTGGAAGTGTTTCCTCATGAGATTGAGATCAATGAAAGTCAATCGGCAGTATTGGTGTGCACTGCATACGGATCGCCGCCACCAAAGTATGATTAATGTGTTTAACAGTAAATTAAGACAATTTTGATTATAAATCACGTCATAACTCATATTGTATTGATTTTTTAACACAACTATATAGGGTCTCCTGGAATGTAACGGGTCTTCATTCAAATATTACTGTAAAATATACACAAAGTGTAATCATTGACAGACTATCAAAACATAGTTTTTACAAAAAGCATGGAAACATCGATAGGAATGTCACCCAAATTAGTACAACCCTTTACCTGAACAAAGCTCATGGAGCTGACAACGGGTATGTCGTGTGTATTGCAGAAAATATTGTCGGCAAACGCAAGAACTCAACACATCTAAGAATATTCTGTGAGTCTGTCATTCAATTTGTATGCCATTCATCTAATATGATATGTTGTTATATTATATATCACTTTCCGCATAAAAGATCATTTTGAACAAAAAAAATTTCACATATTTTTTTCATTAATTTTATACATTGTTCATGAAATACAATATATTTGTTCAAAAAATGAACTGAAATACTTCATTCATAACTTATATAGTTTGGCAATCAATAGATTTCAATATTACTACATATTTCGATATAAATTAATGTTTAATGACAAAAATCAGAAATTTATCATAATTTAATCATTAATTGGAGTTTTTAATTACGAATAATCAATATAATTATATACAATATATATAGTTTTAATTTCACACAAATATTAATTTGTTGTCAAATTATAATTTAAATAAATGTAGGGTTTTGATACTGCATATGACGTGATATTAATCATTGTATTACTAATTAAAAATTAATTAACAAAAGCATTAGACAACGATTTTTTAATTAATATATTTATTTTATTAATTGTAATCATTTTTTTTAATTTCATTATAATGATATCAAATCACACAATGGATTTTATAAACAAACTGTTTAATAAATTTAAATTTATAGTAAATACACTCAGTGTACAGTAGATCACACATAAAATAAACTTCATATAAATTTATTAATGTTTAGTAAACTACATTAAGTTAGATAAATTCATATTTTATAATGAAATGCAAGTGTAAAATGTAAAAAGTTAAAGTTTACAATTATAATGTTAAAAGGTGTGAATTTTTTAAAGTTTATTCATAGATAACTATATAAAGTATATTTTTATGTAAGATCTACACTAGTATTGAATTTTATATAGATTTTATGTTAATATAAAAAACTTTGTTGTTTATTTTTATAGTCATACAAATAGTAGAGATTTCATGATAAAGTAATTCAAGTGTTTCTAAGTTGATCATCAAATTTATATAGATTTATATAGTTAGATATACAAACTTTACATAAATTTGCATCAAATACTTGTCATGATAATAAATCATTTATATTGTGTCAAGTTATTTATAAAGCATATGAAATTTAGTAAAAATTACTAATCTATTAATATTTTTTAATTAATACAAACATCTTTACAATCATTTAAAATTTATTTGACATTAAAATAATAAAAATAATATTATTTTAATTATTTATTTTACAACTCATATAATTCTAAAATAATAAAATTTTATATAATCTATATAAACTAATATAATTTCATTTATTTTATTAATAAAATATTTTATAAATAATAGTAGATTATTAATATATAAGTTATTGTTTAAATTTTTTTGCTTAATTTTTGTTTAATAAAATCTTTGGTTTATACTTTTAAATAAAACTATGTGTCTTATCATGACAGGTGATTTATAATTTTATATTCATTAACTTTATGATACATAAACATTTAATAATATTTTTATAATTTTTATATGCTACTAAGTATATAGAGATTTATACATGTATTATAAATATTTTTATATAATGATTGATAACTTATAAACTTTACATTATACTATAATATCTAAAAAATCTATTAATCAATGCATATATTAATAGTTTCAAACAACATAATCCACAATTAATCTGATATTATAAATATAAACATATGGTTTTGTCAATGAATAGTTCAACAATTTTCAAATCATTAATTACAATATAACTTATAAGTGATGATTGATTTTTATAATATTGTGTTATTATTCAAACAATAATTACATATTTTAGAAATCAAATATTGTCTATAATATTGAATTTATGTCAATACAAAAATATTAATATCAAATTCCTGTAATTTTATTTATATACATTTTGTAAGTTATATATAAATTATATACTATATATATATATATATATTAAATTATGTCACATAAATATTTAAAAATATTTCAATTTAATTCAATTTTGATCATTTTTAATCATGATCATTTCAATAAACTTGTAAACTTATTACAAAATTGTCCTTTTAGTCTATTTATATTATTGATATATTGCTAAAAAAATCAAACACATTATTTTTTATTTAAATTTTATATGAAAACATTACATTTTCAACAACAACAAAATATCTACAGTAAATATTAAGTCAGATTATAAAGTTTTATATGATATATAAATAGTTAAATTTCAACAAATATTTATAAAAACATATCCGATTTGTATCCATGTATTGACATAAACCAAAAATTATATATCTTTTACACTTCCTTTGCAAAACATGTCGACCCTCTCTGACCTTTTAGTTTTATTTATATTATTTTTTTATTAACCGACTTTTAGACATATAATTGTTATTTTCAAATAATGTTACCATTGATTTATATTTTATTTTCTTTTATTAAGTACTCTATTTGTTGATTATCTTAACTTAAAATAGACTCACAAAACGACTATTTTTTATACAGTATTTTTTACATTTACTTTAATTCATTTCTCAAAGTGATTCACAATAATTCACTTTATGTGATATTGTATGCAAACGTACTCTACTATACAATACAATACATTATAATCGATAGATATTTATATACTTACTGTATATATATATTCACTTTAATTTCCTACGTTATTGTGGGCGTCATTCCCATTATTTCCCCAAAGAGTTTATTCCCAAACACCTGTCCATTGAAATAGTGGTTCAATTTATAAAAATAACAAAATTTTATATATTTTTTTTATTTCAATAAATGTTATTTATTTATTTCAACAATATAATATTGATTTAAAAGTTTAATAAAGTTATAAAATTTAATAACTCTTTTTTAAATACAATAAAAATCTCTGTTATGTTATCTAAATTATATTATAATACACTTAATGTAAACTTTAGTTAGTTTTTATCATTTTTAAGAGTTTAGCAATTTTGAATTGTTTTAAATTTGAATATAATTTTAAATATACATATATATTTACTTTTATTTAACTATTTCTTTGTAATTGTAATTAACAATATTATTTGATGAATATGAACACTAGCACCACCAAGAATAGTGGAACTGGAGTTTGAAAATAAGTTTTGGTGGTGTATTAGATACCGGATCACTGGTATGCCTGCCGTTACTAAAATCTGGTATTTCAATAACCAACCTCTCAATATGTCCGAAACGATCAAAGATCTAGAAATTGCAACGCTTTCTAAAAATGATTACGAAATTGAAGGCAAGTTTACATTGAATTACTATATGAATTCTAGACATCGGTTAATATAATAAATTTATAATTATATTAATAGGTTGTCTACAGATTGAAAGGGCCACTCATGTCAATGATGGTTACTATACCTTAGTTGTGATCAATTCATTGGGTGAATACAATAAGTCAGTTGAGGCACAGTTTCATAAAGGTTTGCAAATTTAAAAAAAATATATGAAATAAAAAAATAATTTTAAAACTTAATGATATATTAGATGTGAATTTGCCGGGTATTGCTCCGGGCATTCGTCCATTACATCCGACACCACGAATACCTCAATCTCCTAATCCATCGGCAATTGATATATTGATTCCAAGCGAATTGGACGCCGAGTCAATGCACCCAATGGATCAAATTATGGTTAGTTTTAATACTCATTTTATTTACCATAGATATAAATCGTGCAATTAGTTGATTTGTTTTATGATTCATATAACTCTTAATGATAATAACACATCAATTATTAAATATTAATATTGCTTGATGAATAAAAATAAATGTTAATTTAGTAAATACAGGTATAGTAAACAATGTAGATTATATAAATAATTAACTTATAGTTAACAATTAAAATATGCTATAAAACTTTTTTTTAATTATATAACTTAATAATATTACATTTTATTTTTGAAAAATATAGACAACTTATTATATATTGAATAAGTTTATCTAAAGTAAAATATTTAATTTAAAAAATTTACTTGTATTTACTTTCAAATTAGTATTTCAATTTCAAAGTGCTTTTATACGAAAGAAAATATTTGATTAAATATAAAAAGTATATTTTTAAAATTCCAATCTTTAATTTTAATCAATTTATTATTTAGATTATCCTAAGTAACAAATAAATTATTTATTACATAAATGTAAACTATTTCATTAAAAATAGTTATTTTTTATATTTTTTTAATCTCTATAATAAAATAAATAAATAAAAATTTAATTAAATTATTATATTTTTTTAATTTGTGTTGTTGCTCTTTACTTATTTTTACTGTATTTTATATTATATTAATAATTTAATCTTAAATTTTTAAATTATATGACATTAATAAAAGTAATTGTTATCTATTATTATTATTATTATTATTATTATTATTATTATTATTATTATTATTACAAGTATTAATAAATAATTTATAAAAATATTCTTCCGATAGTTTCCTGTAATTATAAGCTCAATAGTTGTGGCGTTTGTGGTATTCGTGATGTTTAGCATTATTGTATGCATCGGTTTAAGGAAATGGAGATATAGGGGTTCCCATAGAAGAAATAGCATAACTCATTCATTTTGTCCGACAATTTTATATAATTTATGTTTTCATGCGGACAATGAGGATAAAAGACGCGATAACCTAATGACAACAGAGAGGATACCATTAAGTATTGCCAAAAAATTAGTCGAAAATCCCAACTATTTACAGGAAAACGAAAAATTGCTTAATTCGGGTAACTTTTTCTAATTAATCACTTGATATATAATATTGTATTTTATTGTAAAAACACTTTATACAGTATATCGAGTATTTTATTTATTTATTATTTTTTTTTTTGATAGGTATTAAACACATATCAAAAGAGAAAATTAGTTTTATTCAAGAGTTAGGCGAAGGAGCTTTTGGAAGAGGTTTGCCATTCAATCTATAAATCAATTAAAAGCTACTTATCTTATTAAAGTCAAGTATCCTTTATTTTAATGTACAAAAACCGTCTATTTTTTGTTTTTGTTTTTGAAAACAAGTGTTCTTAGGAACGGTAGACTTCTTGACACCCGACGAGCCAACAACACTGGTTGCCGTCAAGACATTGAAAGATGTCAACTCTGAAGAGGCGCTCAAAGACTTTGAAAGAGAGGCCGAATTGTTAACAAATTTGATTCATCCAAATATTGTTAACTTTTATGGCATATCACTGGATGGCAATCCATTGATGATGTTGTTTGAGTACATGGAGTACGGAGATCTCAATAACTTTTTGCGCACTCACGGCCCGGATTGTCATTTATTGAAGACCACCGATACTTCGGTTTCGTCCAACACATCATCCAATTCAGTCGGTCCTCTCACGCAAAATGATTTACTAACCATTGCCGTACAAATAGCCAATGGTATGGGTTATCTATCACAACAACACTTTGTTCATCGAGATTTAGCCACAAGAAACTGTTTGGTTGGCACCGGACTCGTCACCAAAATTGGTGACTTCGGAATGTCCAGAGATGTCTATTCTACCGATTATTATCGCGTAATTATCAATATATAATATATTTATTGAATTAATTAATAAATTATATTTACTATCAATGAATAGGTTGGTAGACAAACACTTTTGCCAATCAGATGGATGGCTCCCGAGTCGATAATATATCGTAAATTTACAATTGAAAGCGACTGTTGGAGTTTCGGTGTTGTCCTCTGGGAGATCATGACATTCGGGAAGCAGCCCTGGTATGAGTTGTCCAATCATGAGGTAATACAACAGGTGACCTGCGGTAAACTCTTATCCAAACCCGAAAACTGTTCCGACAGTATATATAATGTGATGCTCTCGTGTTGGCAAATGAGAGCTCAAGACAGGCTTGCCATCAATGAAGTGAACAAAAATCTCAGGATTATTGCCAAACAAATACCCGATAATTCATATATAAAATTAATCACTTAATGATTATGTAAATTCCAGTCAACTTAATATATACAGCATATACTGTATACACAATATATATATATATAATTGTTTATTGTATTTAAATTATATAATAATGAAAATCATATTGTAATCTTATAATTCATATACCAATTTACAGTCATATATTATATATATAATATATATATAAATTTTTAAATATTTTTTTAATGAACAACAATTTTTACGTTATATACATTATAAATACAGTATATTTTTATTTTTATTTAAATTATTAGATTTATTATTAAATATATAAATGATGACAAATTATATACAGTTCATATATAAGTTATATACTACAGTATATTGTAGTTTATAAATTATATTTTTATATATACACCACAATTAAATATTTTTACTCAAATTTATTCATAACTATGTATACATAATATAAAAATGGTATATTATAAAAAAAATCCATTACCTCATTACTGTTAAATTATATCATTTAAGTCAATTAATTGCTTTTTATTAATTTATAAGTATTGACAGTCAATAAATCAATTTTAAACAAAATCTTAACTGAGGGGTACATATCAAATACTTAGTTTATAAACAGTTAATAAGCTAAATACCCTTGATCAATTTGATGAAAATTGATTTGATGAAGTTTTAAAAACAATATTTATTAAATATTTAGAATTTTAATTATTTGAAAACATCACTCAAATTGCGGATACATTAAAAAAGTGATTTTTGACACTAAAGTTATTTATAATAAAATAAGTCAAATACAGATCATTACAAATAATTCCTCGAATATCAATCATCAAAATAAATGGTAACAATTGTTTAGTTTTTTTAGATTTATATTAGTCTAACTAAAAATAACTTATTTTTTCATTAATTTTTACTTAAAAAAGCTAATTTAGTACAATCTGTGAGTCAGTCTTAAATGTGATAATAAAATTTGTATATAATATACAGGTATATATAATATAACTTTATATACAGTACATATATATGAGTAAATTACTATAAATTGTTACTTTCATTGAATATACAAAACAATATTAAATAAAACAGTTGACACAAATAAATAAATAGACTTATTTGATATGATATATAATCCGCATCGTTATGTATTGCCTTAAATGTCATTTTAATATTAACTTATCAATCAATATAAAAGTAGATCTGATTTCAAATCACTAGACCATACCATCGCTTTATTGTTAATAAAAATTTTAAGTTTTAAATTTTAATATAATTATTAAATTAATCAATAAATGAAATTAATTAAAACGTTTAAATTTTACATTTTTTATTGATTTTTTTTAATGAATTTTTATACAATTAAATAATTTCAATTTATTGCTGATTTGCAAATAATATAAGAAAACAAAGATTGAGATGCCGTTAATGCCGTTTACAAAGAGTTTCAATTATCAAATCACTGAATGCCTGTGCACTCAACCCATCACTTCTATGACCTCTCAAACCCAAAGTGTTTGTTATTTTAATAAATATTTGCGACGTTTTAGTCATTTAAAGCGACATTTACTTTGAGGTCCGATTGAGTGCACGGCCTCTATGTGTATAATATAAGTCATCATTTTATATGTAAATCCATATTCAGTTGCGATCGTATTATTTTTTTTTAATATTTCGATATATTTTGTGTGATTTACTTATAATTCATACAATTTATGAAATACTTGGTTTGTCTCTGATATATATAGTATTTGTTATTAAAACAAACAAATCATTTGCAAACTCAAAGTTTGATCGGTTTTTAAATAACATCTAAATCGATAAAAGCAATTCAAAAATTTTAAATCAACTATATTTTGTGAATTAATTGTCAAATCAATCGATTCATGTAATCATTTCCTGCAATAATATATAATAATAATCTGTTTCTAATCATTTCAATAAACAAATGTTTGATGTAATAATCAATTAATTAATGTATTTTTAAATCAAAATCAATTTCAAAAGTAAAGCAAATATACGGTAATGAAAACACAAACAAAACTATAGGTTAATTAGTATTAAGTGTTGATTTGGGTTTATCTTAATTCCCGTTAAATATAAATATGTTATGCATTTCCGTTCACCAATTGATGGCCAGAACTTGGTTTGGCCTCCGAGTGCACCGATTGTTTTATAGACGAATTTTGTTCATTCGATTGGGGTTTTTGTTGGTTTCCCGAAGTGGACGACTGTTGCGATCGTGTGGTCGACGAGTACTTATCGTTTCGCTCTGACTTATCGTTCCTTTCATTTCTTTCTGTTCTTTCACTTCTATCGCTTCTCTCAGATCTTTCTGTCCTATCATTTCTGTCCACTCTTTCATTTCTATCATAACGCGTCCTCTGGGGCTTTGAATAAGTGTCACCTTTTTGTGGTATCGGCTGACTATCGTTACGGTGTACTGACCGCTGAGTGGATGCCGAAGAGTCGTTCTCAATAGGCGTTCCCTCTTTGTAGTGACGAGACTTATTGAATGGTTGTGAGCGTGGGTGTGAAGATCGTCCACCTCTGTCGCGATCTGAACCTCTATCCCTATCCGGACCTCTTTCTGATGGATTCATATATCTTCTTATATTAGATCCAGACATACCACCTCCACGACTACTGTTTCTTTGACCGGGTATTGTCCTCGAGTTGACATTAGTGTCAGAGCGGGGAACACCTCTTTGAGATCCAGTCCGGCCTCTATCGGAACGGTCAGACTCTTCGTGCATTTGCACCGAACTGTTTGTTATATTTTTGTGAATTAGTTGTTGTGTCTGAATATTCATAGACGACGACGGAGTCACGTGTGTCGGGTGTTGTTGAATAGTTCTCAATTGATGTACAATTTCAAGCTTCTCCTGTCGTAATTTTTCCACTTCTTGTAAATGATTTAAGTGGTAGTCGAGTAGGATTTGGGCGTTTTGAATGGACTCAGAGGTGCCCACAAAAACAAACGGCACGTGTTCTCGCGGCGCTTCATTTTCAGTGTCGCCCTCAATCTTAACCCTTACTACTCCAGACTTGTCTACAATTTCTTGAATAATACGCCCGGCTTTTCCAATGGCTTTACCGACCAGAGTTCGGGGCACTTCAATACCTTTCTCGGCGAACTCCAACATAGCTCTGGCTCTATGACACGCCTCTAATGACTGACCTTTTATCCGAAAAGTACACGAATTTTCTTCGATATCAATGGCGGTAATGCCTTCAAGTTTGCGGGCATTTTGAATGTTGACGCCGTGGGCACCAATAGCCAGACCCATAAGGTGTTCTGCAACGACTACTTCGACCATATAGTTCTGACCGGAAGCTCCTCCATAGTGAGTACCGGCAAATCCCGACCCAAAGGGACCGCGAGTTGACTCTAATTGTTTGGCCGCCTCTTCAGTACGCGACAAAAGGACCAGTTTTTGTTTGATGTTTCGGAAATGCATTTCACTCAACATTTGTGCCCTTTTCTGTGTAATTCCTGCTAAATATGTTTTTTCGTGCGGAGCATAACCAACACATATAAGAACACCTTTGGCCTCATCATAGCGAACAACAATCGCACCGATAAATTGTTTAAACTGTTTGTGGGCCTCACTCTTGGATAACCAACCGGTATTCATACTTCGGATGTCATCCGGTATTTTGATTTCAAATTTATAAAATGGATTAGTAGTGAGCAATGGGTGAGGATTCTTGGGCCGAATTCTATCACTGGCCACTATCTCACTATAGGTTTGATGGTTAGGTCCACTTTGCACCGATTGGCCATCCGATGTGGTGCTGTTTTGGTACTCAACAACATGAAAATCACCTGAAATTACCGGTAAATAATAATTTAAATACTTATCATATTTAATGATCTGATAAATAGTTACAACTGTATTATCAATTAAGAGATAAGTTAGTGGTAATGGTAACCAACCTTTGATCATCTTGACCTGTGCCCTCCACCACCCACACTGTTCTCCATCATTAGTACACGAAAGCACTTCAATTTCCATGCCTTCGGTAACAATCGGCGGAACAACTGATGTGTTGGCATTAGACGACTCATTATTGGCTCCATTAGCGCAACTGTTGGCCGATTGAGTGGTGGACAGTGAAGTGGGTGGCGGCAGACGAATCCTATTAATGGGAAACTTTTGTTGCGGTAACCAATCGTTTTCGAAGGCAAGTGTTAGCTTTGATTTGTCACCCGAAGTGGTCACCGAATTGGTTGCCGCCGCCGCTGCAGCCGTTGTTGTTGCTGTTGTCGTCGTCGTCGCCGTCGATTCGGTTTCAACACCGGTATCACTATCGGCGGTATTGTCGTCCACATCAACAATGAATGCCTTATAAAAGGCTCCGTTATCTCCGCGAACTTCGACAATACCGTCTTTTAAGAGCTCACTCGGCAGTGAGTCTGTGTTGGGAGTAGTCATGTCTTCGGCAATCAGTATAAATCAATTGACTGTTTGTTTCAATGATTAGCGTTTGTGTAACGAATCAGTCAATGACTGGTTTACAACAAATGTCTGAAATGAGAAGACAATGGATTTGATTAGATGAATGTGATGTCTATGTGAGTCATCAGTGTCTTCACTACAGTCTATGTTAGTCCGGTTTGTGTGACAATTGTCTTGAAATGTCTTCAATGGTCTAAACGTCGCAAACATTTACGCCATTCATTCATTCACTCATTCATTCATACATTCATTGCTCACACACTTTGTCTCTCAATATATCTATCAATATATGTATTATTGCCTCAAATGCCACACATTTTGCCGTATATTACAAGCATTACTAACACTATATATAATACCGATCGCAACGCACTCTATCTAACTAAACACACCTCTAGTATTACAAGACGTTAGAGGTCAGCACAGAACTGGCTTTAAATTTAATTATTGGCCACAAGTTTACTATAAATTATATTAATATTAATATTAATTTATATATTATTTCACTAACAATAACCATATGATTAATTCAATTATAGAAATTATAAAATTGTATTCAAAATTTCAATTATATATTCATATCAATTAAAATTTTTAATTAATTAAAACAAAATTTAATTGCATTTCAATTGTAGAGACCAATGCAGTCATATTGTAAATAAAAATTGATTTTTATTGTAATATTAATTAATAATAATAAAAAATTAATCAATATTTTAGTTTTTATTGTATTTTTTATTGTATTAATTGATTAATTCTCGACTCATGTCTACTACTAATCAATCAATTACTCTATGAATGCAAATACGTGTCAATCGATTACCAAAAGTTATCGTCTGTTTCGTCAAAACCGATGACCCGGTATTGACTGCACACACCTCTAACAGTGTGTTTGTGATGTAATGCACTTTCAGTAGAAATGTTTGTTTGATTTAAATTTACTGTCAATTGATTTGTCGCTCGACTTATGGTTTGATTAATTGATTGTCATTTCAAAGACAACAGTGAAGACAGTGACCAAACTTACCGAAGATGTCTACGAGAAGAACTAAAATGCAATTTAAGCCCAAAGTGGCGAACCGTACGGTCAGTGTGGCCAACAAGAGTCCACAAAAAGTGACCACCGATTGTATCGACAAATCCAACGATTTGGTGGCCGAAGAACCCGCTAAAGAGCTGCAAATTGATTCCCAAGTGAAGACAGTACTGACACACACTTATAACACACTTACCACTAAAATAATTAGAGTTTTAGATGAAGATATTGAAACAAAAGATGATAATAAAGACAATAGCGTTGAATTGTTGGACACCATTGACCAGATAAGTGATATTAATGACAACAACAACAAACAAGTGACCGATAGTGTGGTTGTTGAAGAAATTACTCAAAACGTAACAAAAGAATTACCGATTGAAACGGAAGCCAACAAATGTGAAACCGATGACAAATTGCAGAAACAAATACATCAAGAAATCGATGACAATAACAACAAAAGTGTCGTAAAAGCAATCAAAGAAACTAATCGAAAACGAAAGACGTCTCGTAAACGAAACAAATGCGATAAGAAAGACAAGTCTATGATGACTATGAAAGATCTACTTCTTTATAACCCACCGATGACTGAACAACAAAAGGAAATGCGAGACAAAGATACAGATGTAACTGAAACGCAAACCAATGTTGAATGCGATGAAAACAATGACACAAAGGAAGATAATAATGAGTCGGATGAGACAAATGCTGGTCCGCGCGTTAAAGTTGGCGCCGATGGACAGCTTATTTTGGACGAAGAATCAGTGATCCTTAAGAGGAAAAGGAGAGATACTAGCGATACAGTCATTGAAAAGGGTGGCACAACCTCTGCTTTTGTCAACTATTCGTCTTTTAGAAACAAAAACAAATCATCAAAACCTCGATGGACTGAACACGAGACCATTCGCTTCTATAGTGCTCTCAACACAATCGGCACTGACTTTACACTCATGTCTAACCTCTTCTTTAAAGACAAAAGAAGTCGTTTAGATTTGAGAAATAAGTTTAAGAAAGAAGAGAAAATCAATAAAGCGATGATCGACGAGGCATTGTTCTCACCAAACACTTTCATCAATCAGTGCTCACAACTCGATGAACTACTCAATGAGTCTTCATCTGATTCAGACATTGAAGACAATAATGAATCCAATAAACAAAGCATAGCTAATACTTAGTTTTAAACATTGAAATTAATTTAAATATAAATTGTTTGCAGCAAATAATTGTTATATTTTGTAAATTATATCAATAATGTATTTAATATGTTTATATCGTATATACTGTATATTTCTAATTCCCGGTCTTATTATTATTATTATTATTATCGGTATATTTTTAAAAATTATACATCAATTTATTAATCTATTTCTATATAGTTATTTTGGATTATTCTTATTGAATTAGCAGTAAGTAATACTAAAATTTATATTAATTGATTGTTTTGGTATAATTAATTATTATTAATCAATTTTGTTTATTTCTTTAACTCATTTACATTTAAAATTTACAAATTTGTAATAATTATTACCGATAAATGTATAATATGTACTTTTTATACTATAAAAAGATATGCATTATAATTAAATAGATTTTGTAATAAAAAACAAAAACTATAGGTAATTAAATAGATATATTAAATATATATATATATATATATACAAAAAAAAATTAAATAAAATTATTTAAATCTTAATATAATATTGTTTTTAATTATATACAAAATGTTATGTTAACATTATTTATTTTATACTTTATATTACAAAATTAAATTACCGATACTTCTAATAATAGTTTAAATAAATAGATCAATTAATAAATTTATTATAATAATTTATTCAACAAATGTTTATACAATAGAAAACAATTAATTTTACTATAAAATTTATTTACCTTTAATGTATTTGTATTAATAAAAATTAAAAATAAAGCATTAATAATTATACAATATGTTTGGACACAATTTATGATATTTATATATATATTTTTTTAGTTTATTTGATTCACTTATAAACTAAATATTCAATAATTAAATTAAACATTAAATATCAATACTACAGTACAGAATAATAGCATACAAATAATGCTATTATTTATCTAAATAGGATATAATAAACAAAAAAATATACATTTAAATGAACTTAAAGTTAGTAATGATTATAAAATTACACTCAATAAATGACTAATCAATAAATCCGTATATAATTTAATGATTATTTTGAACATTATGTCAATAATAGACTTTTCAAAATTTCCTATATTTACCTAAAGTTTTATTTTTAATATCGTACACAAAAGCATTTACTGTATTTATAATAATTTTTCATAAATTGTTTTATACACACATGTATTGTATATAATAATATTTGTTATTTAAATAGTGAAAATGCAATGAATTAGAGCTAAGCTCACAAATAATTAATGATTTGAAACATTATTATAATAGTGTTGTTATGACTTCAGCTTTCAAATTAAAAACGCCTTTCATTTTGCATGAAAAACCCATCAAATTGTGATCCAATTCTTTAATATTATTATAATATTATACATAGTGTTATACATAAAGTAAATTCAAAGTTAATTTGTGAGTTGAGTTAATTTGCGATAATAGCGAGTATTGAAACAAAAAATTTAATAAATTAATTATTGGGTTTACAACTGAAAAGTTGGTTACTATTGAAGTTTGTGATGAACTGAGAGCCGGGATCTCCAATCTTGTGGCTCTAACTCTTGGCAAAGCGATTCTGTATATTATATATATATATAATAAGCAAAATTAGATATAAAGGCCATCATTGGTATTGATTACCTCTTACTAAATGCAATTGTTTTGCCATCTCTTCCCTGTATATCAACTCTTTCCTAACCTGTTGTTCCAAAGTTTCTACCAATTAATTAATTTTAATAATAATTAAATTCAATTATTTTTTTATTTGTTAATTAATAGTACCTCTCATAACATCATATTCTCGTTCAGATTTATGCTTATCTTCAGATTGTTTTAACAATATTTGGTGCAAATCATCTAAAAAATTTAAAGATATTCATAATAATTGTAATTATGTATAATATAATTATTAAATTATTTATTATTAATACTAATATTTAATAAATGTAATGTTTGCTTTTTAAATTAAATATTGCAAAATGCATTATATTTTTATGATAATATATGATAAAATAATTTTTATTATTTTATTAAATAAATAATAAAATTCGTTATTTATAATATAATATAATGATTTGAAAATTTAAATTTCTTTCTAATTGTTTTTTATCATATCATATGATTCATACATCAATAGTCTTTCATTTATAAATGATATGAATATTATTGTTAAAATAATTACATTAATTTTATACTATAAATATTTTATGTTTATTTAGTGTTAATATTATTTTAAGATAAATAATATTTTAACGTATCGTTATTGTCAATTTAAAATTATATATAAATAGCAATTTATTTAATTGTTTTAATGCAAAGATTATGGCCTTAAGGAAAAAACTAAAGTACAGTATAACATGTCGTGAATCATATCATTAGATTCATATTAACTTTAGTAACAAATATAACAAAATATTTGGTTTTTATATTAACTTTAAACAAACAAACAAAAAATTTTTGTTTTATTAATTTATCCAAAAAAACAATAATTAACTTAGTTTAATAATAAACAATAATAGTTTATTTATTAATAACAAGAAAATTGAATATTTTTTTAATTTGAATAAATTAATTTGAAAATACTTATGTTAATTATCTAAATATATTATTAGTCTTAATTATTAGTGAAAACCATAGTTTTTTTTAAATAAGTTAACAGTATATAATTATACTTACATTTGTTGAATAAGTTATTTCTAGTTTAATCATTTTATTGTTAAATTTAATTTAAACAAAATAACTTAAATAAGTAAAAACCAATCGTTTAGATGTCTTACCCCTTGAAAGTGATGTCATATTTCTGAGATCGAGTGCCGTATTGTTACACAAATCGATTGCCATTGATTTGCCACTCCTATCGTCACATATTGTGCCCTATATTGAGGAAAAAAGTGTTTAAATTAAAAAAGTTTTAGATATTTAAAGACTATAGAGATTACAATGGAGTTCAATAGTTGTGAGATAGTTATGATATAGGATTTGTTGAGTCTTTTAGAAATTTAGTTTTTTTTCAATGAAAAACTACTTAAAAGAATTGAACCAAAAATTCATTGCTTTTAATCGTTTTTATTGAGAGAGGAGTTAACAATGAATCTATTGCTGTAATAATAGTTTATGCAATATATTACATCATATGGTTTCAAGCAAATTATGTTTCTATACGCTATAATACTGTTTGTATACTATGTACTGTATATATACTGTATGTAAGTGATGAACAAAAAACTTTTCTTTTGATTACAAATATGAAACACTTTAGTATCGTATTTGTAATAAACAGAAAAGGTTTTTGTTTTACGTTAATTTTTTGTTACTGTATAATAAAATTTAAGAAATAAGTTATACGTATATATATATATTATATTTTTCTTAAGTTAGATATATCAATACATACATTGACCATAAGTGTGTTTTATTTATATGTTATGCAATAACTCATAAATAAGGTATCGCTTTGTTTGTTATTTGTTATATAAAAAGCAAATGATTTGGTTATTGAGTATCTCTTTTCAAATGTTATTCAAATGGATTGTGAATTACAACTAATACTTCTATAGATATGTGAGTGCATTGAATCAAATGTAAGAGCAATATATGATTGTATTGAATATATACATTATATATATTATATATACTGTATATTTATATATATATATTCTTTATACAATATATAGATTCTATATATAAATGATTGCATACAGTGTTACATATGAGATCCCCAGTGTATAACACGGCATAAATTTTCTCCCTTTTTTGATGAGACACATGTTTTGCTCATCAAATACAGTGTAATTCAATGATTGAGACTAAAACCATGTATTTTGATATACTGTACTCTTTTTATTTGATAGGATTTCTTTAGAAATGATTATAGATTTTTATGTAAAAGTTAGACAACACAGAGATTTTGGTCATTCAAGTTATTCAAACCTTAAATAAATATTAATCGCATTAAATCTGACTTTGGTTAACATGAATTATGTTATACTCCAATGTATTTGAGAGACTACTCCAAGTAATTCACTGTTATTTAGTAGAGTCTGTAAGTTGTGTTTAAATAAGCGATTCAATGATTCAATCGGTAGTGTAAATAGGCTTTAGTCGCCTTATTTGACTCATTTACAAGTGATACTAATGTATAGTTTGATAATAATGTTAGATATAATTTATATATTTATACTGTATATAACAATTTGTTTCACATCACTATCATATTTACTATAGATATACAGTACATGTATTACTTTTATACTTAACAAGTCTTAACAAAATAAAAACACATTTACTAAACATTATTGAACACAAACTATACACTAGTATTTCAATGTACTATAGACTGTATAGTATACAGTATACGAAAGTTTATATAAATAATTGTTAGTATTGTATTTGCTTTTATATACATTTTCTCTACTATATTGGTTATACCAATAGAGAAAACAAAGTTTATAATATATATATATATCACTAAATACAACCATATATTTAATGTTATTTTACAATCTATTTATAACTCAATAAAAAATAGTCTTTTGTAAAGCAAAAGCTCTGTTACTCTGAGATAAAGTCAATAAACGGTAAAATAATTTAATAGCGATTCAAATGCCTGTGTATTTCAATGTAATTAATGATATATCACTTGTAATAAATTGGATGCAAAAGCTCATCGTTCACTCGTGTCATTCAAAATGTGTGATCCAATGCTCTCTCTCTCTCTCTCTCTCTCTCTCTCTCTCTCTCTCTCTCTCTCTCTCTCTCTCTCTCTCTCTTTTCTTTCTCTTTCTGAAAGTTATCAGTGATTTCCAAGAGATATGTAGTGATTGTCGACAATGAGTCCAATAGTGTTAGCCCTCAAGCGTGACATTGTTTTCGATTTTTGAGATAAAAAAATGGTTACGATTTGTCTCATTTGATTCAAATACTATGTTTAACTCAATTTCCTCTCTTTTTCTATCACTTTATTTAGTGCTCTAAAACTAGTTCTGCCTTTAAAACAGAGTACAGCCTTTGATTAATAGTTTCAATCATTTGCTGATTCAAAAAAACAAATCAAATAAAACTTAAATTAGACTACAATATGAATTGCCATTACCTCTGAAAGATGGCCCAAAAAATTTAAGGTCATATCTTCATGTCTGCTAACAGTTGCCTCCAATTTAGTCCTTTTCCTATCACTTCCGTTCACTTCATTGTCTGATATATGATAGCTCTTACTCTTTCTGTTGACAACAATGTTTTGTCTGTCATTAATATCGCAATTTATGACATGATTTTCCTCTTTCTGTGACATCATTTGCTGTGAGTCATCGCAGTCTTCGCCGACAATATCGACATCCGGATCACTGTTTGATTGTGACGGTTGCGGTGAAAAGTTATTAGTATCGGGACTCTTGACTACACCATCTATATGACGACCAACTGGCGAAACATTACCAATAATATTCTTAGATACAACCGGTTTAAATGCTGACGAATGACTGGCTTGTGATGCCGTAGTGTTATTATTAGTGTCTCTACTTTCATGAAGACTTTCTTGAGACCAAAGATGATCTCTATGTTGTTGCGAAAACATGAAAGAGTTTGTATCGTTACCACCAAACAGTTTATTTCTGCTGACTTCATGAGCTCCAAACTCCAGTGCACCAGTAGGTGGTCGCGGCCATAAAAGACAACTGTATGGTATATGAAGTGCTGGTGACTTTCCTGAGCCGATCCACATGAACTCAGCAAAGCTTTGTCTGAAATCTGTTGAATTACTTGTCGACAGAGATTTTATTGGTGGCGATTGTATCGATGGGTTAGCATTGAATTGAGCCGTTGATGGCATTGAATAGGATTTATTTGGTAAAGATATTAACGGAAAATAAGTCGGTCCGACATTTGTGGTGCTCTTTGGAGACAAACTATCACTCATTGTTGTATTTGGTGTCAGAGAGTGATTACTTTCAGGCGATGAAGAACTAATGGTTTGTCTTTTTAAATAATCCTGAGAGGAGTTGACGTTTCGAGAACTACTACAGCTTAGACCGGCAGCCATCGCACGCTTACGACTTCCCCCATTGAACATTGCCTTCACGTCTATCCATTAAATCAAATCAAATTAACATCTAATTTACTAATTGTCTCTTAATTGTAACTCTTTATTAAATTACATTTATTGATTACAAATTTATTTTAATACATTCAATACTTATCTTTGCTATTTGAACTTATATATTATATATAATACTGTATTATATAAATATGAAAATTTGTTTAAATATAATATAATTTAAATTTATATAAATAGGTTACATATACTTATTAAACATTACATACTTATTATTACACATATATTTATTAATTAAATAATTCAAAATTTCAAAATGAATTATTATTAACAATAATTAATTACATAAATAGCAAATAACATACCTTCCCACGCAAATGCTACTTCATCGGGAGGCTCAGGACTTAATATAAGTTTAATATGTCGTCTCCAACTATAAGCATGTTTTTTGTACAATATATTTGTTGTTAGTTATTGATGAAAAAATAATCACAAATTATTGAAGACATTGTCTAACCTATTAAAGTTGGCGGCGTCGGGCTGTATGTACTTGGAGTCAGGCAAACGGTGCGAATGGAAAATGAATTTGTTTGGCGAAAAAAAGAGTCCACAATAAACACATTTTATACATTTGGCACTGTTTTCCAATAATAATAATAATAATAAAATATTTAAACAATAAATTAATTAATGACTAAAAATTTTTCAATATTTTTTAATAAATAATTATAGACTCATCACTAACCGCGAACTGTTGTATCGCGAAGGGGTAAACTCTCCTCTACAGCCTATTAGTGTTGACATACAATGTATTAGTTTTATGTTATTTATTTAATATTAGATTTGGGACTAATATAATAATATAATTATCATAAATTTACAGATTTCTAATAAAAACAAATGGTGCAACTATTATAATAATCCTATTTTAAATTTAATAATCAAGTGTCAAAAGGCATACCCCATGCGCACTGATGATAGATATCAAAAGCGAAAGTGTCGGGCAATTTAGGCGGTGCTGTTTCAGCCAAAAATGATTTGCATAATCTCTCGGCCTCTCGTTTGGTAATCATTCCGCATCTTCGGGACGACACTGGCATTGCACCGGCTCTTCTAAGCAGCTCTAACTGTACGGGAGTGCACTGTACACATGTTATTCCCAGTGCCACACGTCTATTGGGATCACAATAAATATATCATTACAACATTAATCATATTTGTGTTTACATAATAACACAAACCATTTATTTTAATTAATAAATATATAAATCAAATATTTAAAAAAACAACTTTAAATCTTATTCTATTCAAAAAAACATTTTTATATAATATATTAATCTTATATAATATAATATATAAATAATATATTTATTTAATTTTTTGTCTAAAGTAAAATTATAATAATTTTACTAAATATTTAAAACTTTAGAATTACACAATATATTAAAATATATTAAAATATATATAAAAATCTTAAGTCAAGTATTTTAGAATATATTGTCACTAATTCTGACCAAACTTATACTATATATTAAGCATAAAAATATAAAAATCAATACAAAAATTTTATTAACATTGTGACAGGGAATGTAGTTATTTTTAAAAATATAAATTTATCATATTTAATGATAATTTTTAAATAACAAATATATCATCAGTACAGCATTAAAATAGTTCCATAGTATAATGAATTTTATTCCTGAGAAATTTTCTTAGGGAAATTTAGATAATTTCTATTTTCCTATCTCTACTTGTTATTTATAAGTTAGTATTAAATAAAATAAATTTACATTTTTAAAAATAACTGAATCCCCGTCACAATGTTAACAAAATTTTGTATTAGAATTACATATTTTTATGCTTAATATATAGTCAGAATCGGTGATAATTAATAATACTTAACTTGAGATCTTTGGATATTTTTTATTTTTAACGAGTATTTAAATAATTAAATTTAAAAAATATAACTTTAATAATAATTAAACAAAAAAAATAATTATTTAATAATAAATACATTTATGAAAAAGAGTATATAAACAATATTCATTCAAAAGATATTGATTTAATGTTTATTATATAGGTATGCATTATATAATTTATATAATGTATATAAACAGTATTATATTATTTATTATATAAAAATAATATTATAATATTTAAACTTTTTTAAATAATAATATGTATTTTATATTACAAATCTTTATAAAAATATTTTTATTTGTAAAGAAATGTATTATATTCATTATAAAATATAAATTAAATAAAAAATACTCTGATTTATAATTACGACAAAATATTTGTCTTAAAATATTATTTAATTTATCAGTTTATTCATATTTTGAATATTTTTTATAATGTAAATTATATACGAATACAATACACAGTATTTAGCTATAATATAGCTTAAATACAGTACACTGTAGTTATAATATACTGTATGTTTACAATGAATATATTAAAATTATTAAAAATTTAAATAAATTTTAAAATTAACATATTTGCCATACTTTTTCTGAAAAATAAGCTATAATATATTATTATATTTAGTTAGTTTATGTCTAATAATAAATAACATTGCAACAAAACAAATAATATGAAAGTTTATTGAATAATAACTGATATTTTATTATTTAAATTTAACTAAACTTTTGATTAATTTATTATTGTATCTTTATATGAACTTTAAAATTTGTGAAATAATTTGAGTGAAATTTATTGTTTAATTATTTAACTGTTTTATTAAATTAATTGTTGTTCACTATATGTTTGTGAAACAGAAAAACTAATTACAAGTTTTTAATTAGTGTTTCGTAATTTATATCTGATTTCAGTATCTTATTGTGTGTCTAATAAGGGTTTGAATTAAATAGAAAGAAAGAAAGAGAGAGATTGTATGGATTTTATGTCTTATTATTGAATCACAACTGTCTCTAAATCAACACTATATAACTATCCAAAAGTGAAAAACTGTTAGATATATTGTATTATTATTACTGTATAAATAAAATGCAATTTTATTGTATATGATTTTTACAGTAGAAGAGCTCTTAAAAACATTAAAGTCATGCAAATGCATGCAAACAAATATCTGATAAATAGTTATTGATATGATATAAATAATCAATGTTTACTATACCTGTTGTGAATTTCATTATAACTAAAGTTTTTTAATAATGTATTTGAAATCTGTGCCAAACATAGCCTTTCTTGTGAATCCATGACTAATGCAATAATAGGCACTCCATAGAGCAAAACACTGCGAACTTCATTATTCCTATACGGCGTGCAATTGGAAGTACCACTCGAAGAACCGGTGTTTTTTGGCGTAGGATTACTATTACTTGAACTTAACTGTATTTATAGAGAAAACAAAATCAAAAATCAATTTCATTATAAATTTTTTAGATGTAAATAAAATGTTAGTTATGTTTTTTACAGTATTTTGTGTATATATATACTATATATATATATAATTTATATACAAAATAAACGGTCCGTTTGATCCAAAGTACATTAAACAGAATTTCATTACTTATCACATGTACTATACTATGATAATAATGTATATAATATTTGTCTCTAATAACGTGTTACTACTTTTATAAAATATATGTGTACTATACCCATACAGTACTGTATATATCATATATTGATGATATTCAATGTACAATATGTATAAAATTTTGTCACAAAATGTTAACTTTTAATGTAATATGCATTGTGTTGTAAAGTTATTATGTTCACTAAGTTTTAATAAATATCTAACTTATACAATACATATACTGTATATATATATATTTCACCAATATATGCACCAATATATGCACCATTGCCCAAACCAATACTTAGTACAGACCCCTTGGGTAACAAATGATACTCTCGATTATAGCAGTTTTGCGAGCACTTAATGATAGGTTTGAGTGCCGCACACATACATTACGGGTTACATCACTCCATCACTTTACATCTCTCTCTCTCTCTCTCTCTCTCTCTCTCTCTCTCTCTCTCTCTATCTATCTCTATCTCTCTATCTATTTATCTATCTATCCCTCTATCTATCTTTCTATCTCTTTTATTCAGACAATATTAAGCTGAAAGATAGCAATATATCGACATTAAGTATATATTGGTCGAGCGTAAGACCTATTTGACGCCAAATGTTTATAAAATGAAACCACAAAATAGCAGTCCGTGTCTAATGATGTTTTAGTTTAATGAAAATGTTGAGTGAGAAGTAACTAAAAATGTTTCACTAATTATTTGTTGATTGTTATAATGCTGTCTTGAATAACAATTAAACTATAAAATCTAATTTTACATTATATAATACTAGTCTAATTGATTTATACAACTTTTCATAATACATAAATTGATGAAATATCATATCAAACATATTATTGATATTATAATCAATTCTCATGTAAATATTATTTATATTAAAACTAAATGAATGGCAATCAATAAGATTGAAACTCATTTGCTATCTATCATTTAATATATTAAAATAAAAATTATGTAAAAATACGGTTTATATTGAAACAAATTTAACTCAACTTTATATAAATGTTCATTAATAATTATTACCTTTTTGTCTATATTTTAATTACCACTCTTACATAAATTAGATTTATATATAGAAAGTGTTAGTATCATTATAAATATATTAAATAGAGACATATATAATATAAATATATTATTCACTTATTTATATTTAATTTCTATATATATATATATATTCTATTTGTATAATAATTAAAAACTCAAAAATAAGTGCATTTAATCTTTAGAAAGTTGTTTTAGCATATAATATATGATTTGTTAGAGTTGTTATTATAGATATGCAATATAAATAATTACATATAATTATGATATGATATTAACTTTATTGTATTATTTATAAGCCAAATATATCATTTTAAATATTAACTTTTAAGCAAATAATATCATAGATGTTTGTTGAATAACAAGAGCAGTGTATTAATAATAAAGTCATCAGTTGTTTAAAAATTACAGGTCTGGTCACAGATATGGCACTCAAAGGTGGAGCACTTAAACTATTATTATACCCATAATTGTGAACAACGATATATCTTTTTTTGTACACATATACCTCTTATTATAGACAAAAAATATATAAATTGTGATAAATCAAAAGTTTACTAAAAATATTATTTTTAACAAAACTCTCATTTAAACTTTTTTATTTAAAATTATAAATATTTATATTTATTTAACATATTTTATATCAAACACTTAATAATTTGCATAATGTTTACCATTAATTAAAAAGTTGGTATTTAATTTTAATATATATTAATAAAAATAATAAAAAATTATAATAAACTTAATTATAACAAAATTAAAAGCTTTAATAAACTTAAATTTAATAATAATTGTACTAATTGTTGACTACATTACAATCTAATACTAAATTCTTAACATATAATTGATATAACATTACATGTATTGCAACAAAGTTAGCTTTCGGGGAACAAACAATTGGTTGCATTAGTTTTAATAAAGTTTTGCAATAAGTATTCAATTATTGTTTTTTTATTCAATTTATTTCACTATTAGTTTACAACAACTTCATCATAAAATCATTTTTTTTTGTAAATTTTTTTACCGGTAAGTCTAAGTACTTTTACTGTTAAACTAGCAAACTTGGTCAAAGTTTAATTATCAATTGATTTCAGTTTTTAGTGCTTTATTTAAAAAAGTAACAAAAAATGTTTTCAAGTAATTGTTACAAATACTTTATAATTGTGATTAAAAAGTCGATATATATTAAAAACATTATAATAGTGTTAGAAAATATAAACTATTACTAGACTTACATTATTTAATGGTTGGGAATGCGTCTCGTTATCCATTGTTATCGGATTTATTTGTAAAGTATAGTATAAAATGTTTTGAATGGTATGTCTCTGTTGACTAAATAGTGTGTGTAATATCACCGATAAAAGTAATGTTTAATACGATTTAATTGAGAGTCAATTTTTTGAAAGCATCGGTAGTTTGTAAGTATCGCATGTGCGCATTGATTTGAGTTCTGTAGGGCACAGGGATTGGATACCCGAATCATCAGTTTAAGTGAAATGTTTGGCCGTTTGTTGTGTCTCTAACTGGTCGGCTCTTAAGAGCCACGTGAGACCAGTCATCGATTCACTACATCACATGCGCTCATATTATAACTCTCTCTCTCTCTCTCTTTCTCTCTCTCTCTCTCTCTCTCTCTCTCTCTCTCTTAACGCTTGCATACATTGGATGCTGTCGTTGACAACTCAATCTTAAATCATAGTATAAAATACATTATTACAAACAATACACAAAACAACTTTTACATAACATAATAATATTAATATAAACAGTAATATATAGTTTATTGTGTATAAAGTTAATAACAGTAGTTGTCTATTATTTAAATTAAACATTTTAATTAAACTTATTATATATAAAAGTAATTTGTAATGAATTTCGTGTTGCTTAGTATTTAATTAATAAATGAATTTATAAAAGTTAAATTTTATTTTATTTTTTTAATTTAATGATCATTATTTTAAATAATATATATTCTTTATAATAATTGTAATGTTATTTAAGTACTTCTAATATAACGTTTGTTTAGTTTTTTCAATTAATTAGTAGAAAACGTAAAAATTAATGATCTGATTATGTTTTGACTATCAAAGAATTTGTATAGACTGTCAAGTCATACAATTGGGAGAGAACTGTTAGGATAGCTCAGGGAGAGAGTGTTTGACCATTTTCTAAATCATTTATATTGCAATGGGTCTATTGGTGATCATAAATGCACTGTCTTTAGGGCGCACTGGTTGGTGTCCTGTGAGACCCATGGCATAGACTGACTTTAATGTTGCTTTTGTAGAGCACCGGTACTTGAAAACACAAAAACGAGAACTTTTACTTTTAGGTCGCTAATCATGTTAAAAGCTTATACATATGAGAATTAATGCCCAACACTACTAATCCCATGTGTCGACCCTTTAGGTCTGCCCCAATGTCATACTGACCATACGCTACTCTATTCGTACTACTTTTGTGTGCCTATAATATTAGTAAAACTATTTGCACCGTTAGATGCATGACTTTATAACAAGCATTGTAAACATTTGTTAATATAATAATTTTAAGGTTTGCATAACTATTATATCTTACTGTATATGCCTTATAGTATATACTGGTATGTTATATATAAATATATAGTATTATTATTATTGTTACAGTAATTATAGGCACATGAGAGTATGTTATGACTCTTGTAATGGACATTACATTAATTAAAGGGTCTGTCGGTCACTGGTAGTAAAAATAATAGATCCAATGATTATAAGCAATGGACATAATATTAAGGTTTTTATGTATTGAAATCATTTTGGGTTCGTTTACTCTACCGGTTAGTACTTTACACAACTACTATCAAACCGTTGTTATTATATGGTTGTGCCGTTAATTTAATTTATTCTTTACTTAATTTTATTTGTTTTATTGTATAACATCATAACATCAGCACATTTGTATTGTGGTTCACTTGCAACACAAGTAGTAGATCACATCATTGGTATAATTCTCTCTCTCTCTCTCTCTCTCTCTCTCTCTCTCTCTCTCTCTCTCTCTCTCTCTCTCTCTCTCTCTCACACACACACACACACACACACACGACACTAATAGTTACACCAAAATATAACTACAATTTTGGCTTTAATTGGCTATCAATTTATTGGTCACCAGTGCCTTGAATTTCCTAAACCTGATCCTAACAGTGCTATACTGTAATGAAAGTCTCAGTGAAAAGAGTGGGTGAACGAGAGCACCGGTACTTATATTTTATCTAACGAGTAAATGGGGGCTCAAAATGCAATCACTGTATTGTAAGTTTATATTGTTATTATTATTAATATAATTGCCATTTATATTGAAACAGTGTATTATTCATTGAATGCACTCTCCATATGTCATCATATGGTGTATAATATAGCCTCACTTTTCATGCCTGACCAGCACTTGTCAATAGTATATGCATTCATATGCTAATCAATTGAAAATTGTATTGAAGCAAAAATCATTTGTTGGGCGCAAACAAAAATGGGCGTCCCGTTCGTGGCACCCGACCTAAGATAGATTGGCCCTATGAGACACATATTTCATATAGAGAGCAGTTAGTGAGTGAGTGAGTGTGTGTGTGTGTGAGAGAGAGAGAGAGAGAGAGAGAGAGAGAGAGAGAGAGAGTTGACGTGCAAAGAGTCGATTCAATTCATGCAATAATTTGTGTCGCTTTAAACCAAATAAAAAATTATGACTGAGTTTAGTGATCACTGGTCTCACTCTCC